CCAGTGTACGCCAGTACGCGGTTCTTACAGCTGACAATGATGATGGTGATATATATAGTGTAAGCGGCAACAACTTTCTGGAAATTCTAACACCTGAATGCGCCATTCCGCCACTACTGAGTCGTGACTGACTGTTGGGTCCAGACTTTCGACCATTCAAGTCTCGGCTTCATGACGGGCCGTCAAGCGTCCCGAATTTTCGGACAATCTTCCGTGAGGTAGGCTTCTCGGCCGTAGCAGCACCTGACGGCGACCGGTAAAACGGGATCCGTGTGTGATCCCACCTAACACCCCTTTAAAGTTTGTTGACGCAGCTCCGAAGCCGAGGGTTCACTTTCAGTGGCCTCACTGACTTGCGGATTATGTCTGTCCGGTGTCGCGGTTGTAATCCCTGCTCAGGCTGGGCCTCCGACGAAGAAGTTGGTGGATTTTCTGGGATAGTGCCGTGATCAAAAGTGTCTAAAATCATCTATAGACTCAACTCACTCGGTCCTATTGGCAGGATCTCTCAGCTGGATTTGGTTTATGTGGCGTGTCCACCTGGCTGGGCTTACTTGAATCTCGTAGGGCACTTCGGCGCGCCGGCGAACGATGTGTCCCGGAATCCCTACAGGGTGTCTGCCGCTGTGGTCACGAGCCAACGCTCTGTAGTCTTCGCTGGATTAGCGCGCAGTTGCTCCATGATGCCAGTTGAACTGTCCCTCCACTCTGGTGTTGCGGTGACTAGCCAGCCTGTTCTATAGCAGGATAGTGTCATGCGGTGTTCGAAGCTTCCTTCGGAGCAGTACGTCTGCTGGTGACACTCCATCAGGTGAGCTGGGGTTTGGCGTCGCTCGATATGCCAGCAGGAACCTTTGCGCTTCTTCAAACTGCTTTTGTTGCTGTTGCAATGGTTACCGGAGCTGATTAAATTCGATTGACATCGTGGGTGGCACCAAAAGGGTGCTACAGCTGAATGATTCATTCATCTCTAGTTTAGACACGTGTGACTGTCTAGATTGGTTGGTCTCTATGTGACATACGGACCATTTATATTTGCAAACCTGACTATTAGCCACACTAGATTTCCTTGGCTTACAGCATTTGTCCTTGATCTGATGAAAATATTCAGGTATTTGGATTTTGCAAACTGTGAAGCGTGGGTAACCGTTCGTATTTATGTCCTCTGACGTTCCAACCTCATGATGTAGCTGCCCTTGACAGGTTATCATTGTTTATGCTTTGTTAACTGGGATATAATCTTTTACGCCCAGATTGTTTGATTCTTGAAAGAACTGAGGTTGGATCCATTTAGTGACAACTTAGAACTCGTAAATTTTAAATTTGAAGTGGTGTTTGAAAGGGAAGAAAGTACCAGATTTTCAATACCTTTGATGCGGTTTTGTGGTTTCCTCTTGGAAAGGCATCAGTTTTTGTCGGCTTCGTAGGGCTGCTTCCTCTTGAGGGACATTTGCACAGGGAACTTTATGATCACCTGTCCTAAATGGAGTGCCGTTTTTGATTCCTTTTCACGCGTGGAATCCCCCAAAGTGCTTTCCTTTAAGTAGTGCGCGCTCAACATCTGATCACCGGATAACTCAGTGGCAGTGCTATTGACAATCACCTAACTCGATAACCGACTGTTAAGTTTAACAAAATGACAGTTAGCTGACGTCACTGTAGGTAAAGAATAATGTACATTATTGGGGTTGCAACGGTTTCGGCTTCTTATTGGTTAACAGCGTTTTCTGGGTTGATAAGATTCTAAAATGCATTGAATTTCTGTGTTCCTCATGGAAAAGACACTATGGTTCGGAGAATGACTGCTTCAATACTTAACACGATAAATCAGGAAGGTCCGATTCCTGCAAGTAACCTCAGAACGCCCGGAACTTAGTGCTTCATCAAAATCTCAACAGGAAAGCCGCCAAGCACCTAGGCCAGTCAATCATTCAATCAATTCAGCAAAAGCCAATGGGTCCTCCTGCACGCCACAGAAGCACGACTGAATGTGATCTGCGTTCAGGCATTTCATAGAGGCACGATCGGTGTTGACGGGTGTTCACTAACGCCCATCAGACAGCCTGGATCAATGTCAGAAAGTCCCCTTTAAATAGCACGGGGCTGTTGTAACTTTTACTCTCGCACTTGCACGCTCTTACACTCGCTTGTTCGGAATATAGCTTTTGTGTTCCCTTCTGTGAATCTTTTCTTCAGGCATTGGGTACTGGAGCGGGTCAGCAGCAGATACCACAGATTGGCGAAGTAGCAGATATAACAGCTTCCTATCCGGTTAACGGCGTTTTCTGGGTTGATAAGAGCCGGTCGATTCAAGAATGTACTTGAATTTCTGTGTTCCCCACGGAAAAGACACTGTGGTTCGCAGAATGACTGCTTCAATACAAAACACGATAAATCTCGAAGAAAACGCCCTATGTCGCACGCGCATTTCCTTTTATCTGATGCCAAGCTTGTTCCAACAGAACTGGTGTCTGCGGATTCGTGTGTATGCAACCACCCATCTACCTCATCTGCAAATCATAAAATCGATACCATTCTAGCTAGACTGTCGCCTCATCCCTCTATAGGCAGCGCGATCCAGCCACACCTTCAAACAAGCACTGAGAAACCAGTGAATGTGTCCGCCGCTGGACTACAATGAGATTAATCGATCCGAATATTCAGTGAGTTGGGTAGGTCAGGGAATCATGACCACGAAGCCACCGACTATTTTGTGTGCTCGTACATGTCTGAGGATTTTCGTCCAACCGGCTGTGTATCTGAGACTGCCGTCTTCACACATTAGTTCCAGTTTTCACGTAAATTTAACAGCCAAAACCAGCTTGTGGTTTTCGTGACATGGTAACTTATGCGTTCTCACTGTTCTATGATGAAAACAACTGGCGTGATTTGTAATCATCGATAGCATAACATCAGTGTTCAACATTGGTGTTCCGCTCACGTGATTCGAGTGACCACGCGCTAGGTTAAAATATATGTAACGCTCACGTTTAATCAGGTGCTGAACAAACAACATACAGTCACGTCTTTCTCGCTTGCTCGATGGCTTTTGAGCTTTCGGATTGCTTACATCAGTTACTCGAAGGCTATTCTTGTCCAATCTGACTTATCTGGTCGTTTTTTTCGGTAATTTACTGTAAACTGCTGAGGGTTTCAACAGTTTTTGGTTTGCATATGAGATGTGTTTGTTTTATGTGTCACAGTTTTGATAGATGTTGAAACTAGAGAATAGTCAATTCGTTGCTGCCGCGTTCAGAAAAGATCAGAACATTAACGGAACACTACTAATGCGGTTGCTGAAAACCCTTGGACAGCTTACGACCAGTTTCGCCCTCTTTCTACGGCTCACGAGTTTCCACTGACTTTCTACGTGACGCATATCGGACTAAATTGGCTAAATACACTGATTTGTTTACCAATTTAATCAAGAAGTTTGACGGAAGCTCAATTGCTGCGTCTACCTGATGGGCTTCAAGAAGGGCGAACCGGTCGTTGGGTCTCGAAGAGTTTCCAATAAACTTATGGGCATCTTCCCCCAAGGGGATATACGGTGATATCTTAGATGTCCTGCAGATGGAACACAAGGTGGCCTTCGTGCAGCACATCCCCAGCAATCAGCTGGGAATCAGATGGAACTACCGAGAAAACCAGATTAATGTGCACGTGAGTGTATCTCGCGACCAGAATCTTGTTTAC